CAAATAATAAATGAGGAGGCAAACTTGTTTTTTTAAGAGACAACTTTGCTATGGTAAATATATGTTGACATTTGATTAATTTAGTTGCATGTTTCATTACTTGGGCAAGCAACTCACAATAGCACTTAGAAATCAGCTATTTTTATTAACAGGACCAGCTTTCTCCATTTGTTTCTACCTGCTACATTGGTCCAAGAGAAGGGGCATGCTCTGGTTTGCATCTATCAGGGAATGTCATTTGATGGGACCCAGGAAATGATATTTTCTGTTGCAGGGCATATTCTCTGGAACACCAAGCTCCATGAGATCCAGCTGGAACTGATTCTACTAGCATTTCACAGTCTTAAAAGCATGGCTGTTTTCCCAAGCATGAGGGTTGAGAGGTTAAAGGGAACTATAAGACAGGGGATTTTTATAGTGACTGTTGTTGTCCTTGACTGCCACTGAATATATTTATTATTGTTGTTGTTGTTAATTTGTTTTTTATTGAGTTTTAATTTATGTTAGCCAACTAGGGTTGCTGTTGCAAGGCAGATGGCCACATAAATTGATTGAAATAAGTAGAAATAAATATTTTTGTCTAGTGACCTCCTGGGAGGCAATCTTCCATTCTTAAAACAATACCAGAAGCAGGGAAATGAGCACCATAAATTAGCATCATATAGCTCAAGGAAGACTATTGACCAGGATTGTCTTGTCACTTTATAATATCTGCTATTCAGCTCAGGGGATTCAACAAGCTTGTGACAATGACAAAGTGTTAACTCTAGCTTCAATTTTTGGACTTCAACAAAATAGAAATCATGTTAAATATAGCTGTTTACAAAGCACAAGAAAGAGTCTTCCTAACTGATTGTTTAATATCATATGTTTGCTCAACAAAACAAGAATAAAATATAAATAATATAAATAATATAAATAATAATAATATAAATAATATAGATAATATAAATAATATAGATAATATAGATAATATAAATAATATAAATAATATAAATAATATAAATAATATAAATAATATAAATAATATAAATAATATAAATAATATAAATAATATAAATAATATAAATAATNGGTCAATGGTGTCCCTCTTTACCAATCTGAAAATCTGGTCACCTTAACTAATTATGAAGAAATTTCTGGCAAAAAGTTTGGAGAAAAATCTCTTTGGTTTAGAACAAAACAATCCTCTTTACAATATTCAAGTTTATTTTAAATCTTTATGACAGATAAAAAGTCTGCATATCTAATCTAGCCATCGTACTAGAACTAATAATCTCTTATAGAAAATAGTGAATCATAAATATATTGTCCAGAGTGATGTTATTATTTTTGTCAAAAATGCTCAAATAACATTTAGTAAAACACAATCCCGTCTTTTTGTTGAATGGACAAAAATGTACATTATAATTGACAGTTTCTTTGTCTCTGTTAATGATTTTAATGTAGCTGTTCTTAATCAGCAACAAAACATAGGCTGAATTTCATCGTGAAACAAATGAGCTTCAATTTGTCAAGAGCATGTATCTTCTGTAGTTTGAATAATGTATGTATTTTATCATACCATGTGTTCACCAGTTCACTAATAAAAGAATATATGTTACATTTAACTACTGTTTTGTAAATGGCCATTTCTTGTCACAGATAATATACAATGCATCTGATTCATTCATTCATTCATTCATTCATTCAAATTTAATTAATTTAAGTCATTTATTCAATTAATTTAACTGCCCATCTCACATGTGACTTTGGGTAGTTTACAAAATTTTAAAAAAAATGTACAAAAAATAAAAAATATTTTTGGGCCCCAAAATAAACCCCAGGTCTTACTTTCAGGAGATATCTTACCCACCTGCCTTAGGACTACCACAGCCAGCCCTCCCATGCCCCAACATCTGTTGCACTTCTTCCCAACTTCCTCTCTGCCTGCTCACAGCCAGACACCATGTGGCTTGTTATACTGGTGCCGCTGTTCGTGACAGGAGGCTACATGATGTATTGCACCGTTGCATGCATGAGCGTTGTCACTGGTGCGATGTGCCAAGTGGCATTCTGCCACAACTCTAGAATAAAGTCATCATAACAGATGGAAAAGTGGAAGGAGGAGCCAACGTTGCAATGTCACAACGTGCGGTCTCAATACTCTGAGACCGCCGTTGATACTTTTGCCGCTGGATGGTCCATTGAGACCTAAACTGTCCCGCAGAGACGGTGATCAGGAAGACGTAGCCTTGCTGGCCTCAGGGACATCGCAAAGTCCCTGATTGACCCAAGGGAAGCGCTTCAAGCTGGCAGTAAACAGGCAGCCCCCAGGCTGATGAAGTCGGGACAGCTCCGGAAGGAAGGAAGTGAAAAGAGAAAGTGAGTCCATCTCATGAGGAATTTTTTTCTATTTTGTGAAATACTACCCAAAGAAATTTTTCTTTAAAGCCAAATTAGATCCTTAAGCAAAAGAATTGAACGGCGAAATTAACTCATATTGGATTGCTTTGGAAAGCTTTTTTTTTCTTTGTAACTATACTTTGTGGATTGAAGTGCTCGCAACGTTTCTCATTTCTCCTCTTAAAGTGANAAGTGTTTTTCCCACGGCACACCTTACACTATGTCACGGCACACTAGTGTGCCGCGGCACAGTGGTTGAAAAACACTGCATTAGGCTATTGATCAGACTTGTTTAGAGGTCCTAGATTCTGCTAGGAAAGGGCAACAAGTAAATCTGGCAACTAGGACCAATTAGCACTGCCAATTAATATTAAACATTGCCAATAAAGTCAGTGATATTCATCAGAATCTTGATTCTGACAATATCTGGCTATATTATAGGGGTCTGTTTCTCACCTGTAAAATGGACATAGTGCTGTTTTGTTGTCTCTAACTATGGGTTTGATTTTTGCCCCACTGTAGCTCCTTAGGGAGTCTGAATTTGAACTATTGTACTAGATGCAGGAAGTAATGTAGGAAATGCAATGAAAGCACTTCTTCCATAATAAGTTTTTCTTGGAACCATTTATATTAGATAACAATTACCAAATGTCCAACCTTCCCTTTTGGCAGAAGATTATGGAGATTCAATAATCTGCTATAAAGCATGTTTAGGGAGCAGATTCAGTTTTGTTCAATCTGAAGCATGGGTTGCTTTTACAGCCTTCATTATGATCTGGATGGAGAAGTATATTCCTTCTGGTTCTTTTATATTTTTCAGAACTTTTCAATACCATCGATCATAGTATTCTTCTGAGTAGCCTGTAGGGATTGAAGGCTGTAGGCACAGTTTTACAGAAATTTTGTTTCTTATTCAATGGGCAATTCTAGACTCTGGCTGTAGGAGCAATGAACCTTGGTGGAGTGTCAAAGTGCTCAACCTTCTCTACCTACTTTTTAATATCTACATGAAACTGCTAGCGTGATCCTCCATCAGTTTGAGACCCAGTATCCAGGTCCAGATTTTGATACAGAGTCTAGAGGTTCTCAGAGAGTCAGATAAAACAGGCTGAAGTTGAACCCATAAGAAACAGTTATTGTTTATCAATCATGGATGTCTAATGTCTCTGAGTTGTTCGCCGCCCTGAGTCCCTCCTGGAGAAGGGCGGCATACAAATAAACTAAATACAAATACAATACAATATTATATTGTCTGTTGATGAACCAACACTACTCCTAAATGAGCAGATTCATGGCTAGCAGTCCTAGATTTATAATTATTGCTAGAAGGGCAGGTAGACACTGGCTGATGATTCTTTGCCAAGATATGTGGTGCCAGTTCAGCCTTATTTGGAACACATGAATCATTTGCTTGGATTAGTGCTGTGAACTCTGTACTTCCTTTAAAAATCACATGGAAACTAATATTAAAGGTCCAGTTGCTTGCTGTCACACACCAACATAGATTATCTAAAAGTGCTGGTTTTGATTTGGTTTGACTCTGAATTAGCTCAGGCACTGATTTTATGCAACCAATACAGCCTCTCCCAGCATGGATTTATTTATTTATTTAATACCCAGAATTGCATAAGCAATTCTGAAATGTTACCTTTGGTTAAAAGTATAAAACAAAGAAGCAAAAAAGAAAACATACCAACACTCAGTTTAAGGATAATATTTTTGTAGGATAGAAAAAAACAAACAAAGAAAATAGAAGGTTGTAGAGATGTTTTCCCTTTTTTGCATTTGTTATGTGGATTATCCTTCCTCCTGAAATACAGTCAGCCCTTACTTTATTAATTTTTCATAAACTTCTTAAAACAAATTCTAGTTAGTCTTCACTTAGCAATCACTAAATGAGGACTATATGTACTGAGAGGAACATTTTGAATTGTGATTGTTGGCATTTACTTATTTGTTTTTTTTAAAAGATTTTTATTAACAAACATGTAAAATACACATACACAAAACTTAGACGTACACCACATTTACACAATACAGTGCGAACTTCCTGTTTTTTATATTAGCAATCATCAATCGATATTGCTCACCTTATATTATTTCCCCTTCTATCATATTTCATTTNGTCAAATGAGAATTGTGGTACATTGATAGTAAGATATACAAAGATTTAAAGTGTATAATCTAATATGAACTATAAGTAATGACTGTGGAAGAATTGCATGAAAGTTATCTGTAACCAATCGACACACTTTCTGCAAGAGGTAATCAAGGATGATTCTTTTTTTGTGTTTTTGTTAAATTAAAATTAAAAAAAACTTTAAAAAAAAAACAAATGGAAAAGTATAGTACAAAATTAGACAAATGGGCTGTCCAATCTCTTTTTAAAAGTATCCAGTTTTGGAGCACCCACAATTTTTGAAGGCAAGTCGTTCCACTGGTTTATGTCACAGGAAAGTTGATTGGATTGAAGGGATCATGCATAGCAAAGTACAGAATAGCACTATTCTTAAATATTTTTATATGCATTTTGGAAGCCAAACAATTATTGCTCATCAAATATAAAAAGAGCTTTTGTTTCAAATATCATTTTTTTGATATTTTTTCCCATTTAGGAACAGCTTCTGAAGATGGTAAGACAATAAGAGTGCAAATATATTTATCTTAATATTTCCATCATCATAAGCCATACTGTATGCGGACCATATAGTTCATTACATGGTATTTGGGGTTATTTATTAATTTGCTTAGCTAATAACACTTTGTTGCTGTTGTATTTATGCCTTTGTTTCAAGATGACACTAGAAAGTTTCAAATACTTGAGCAATTCAGTTTTAAGAACTGAAAAAGAAAATGTTCGCTCTTCAAGTTACTTTTAATCTATCTTGCTATTATTCAATAAAATGAAATTTTGTAAATAGTTTCAGAATTTTGGATTTAAAATAATAATAATAATAATAATAGAATATATATGGTGTGTGTGTTTATATAAAAACACATATTCATATAAATCAGGGGTTTCAAACTCAATTTTATTGAGGGCCGCATCAGGATTGTATTTCACCTGAGGACCGGGGGGGGAGCATCATTGGGGTGGGCGTGGCCAGCTCAACTTCACTTGTCAAGGCTCCGCTTTCAGCCAGGACAGCTTCCTGCAGCTTTCTGCCAGCAAAAACAGAGCCTGGGGAGCTGTGCTTCTCTGACAGAGGCACCCGGGCCAGTCCTTCACTGTTTCCAGAGCAGCCCCGTGAGCCAGATCTAAGCATCCCATGAACCGGATCTAGTCCTTGAGTTTGACACCCCTGATATAAATAGATATAGATATTGCTATCCAATATCAGAGACAGTATATACTTCAATTTTGATATGGCACATGTATAGCAGTATCTTACACTGTTTAAAATAAAATATTTTTATTTTACTTTAAAATAGAAATTATACTTCATTGATGCATAAATAATGTACATAATTTGTACTTAAAATATGAAAGTAGATTATTTTATTCAATATTTATATATTTAAGATGTAGTATTATTTCAGTGGTAAATGCAGCATAATATTAAAACGGAAAGAAAGAAAATTGCTCTGTTACCTATTAAATTATTGGAAGTAAGATTTGCTAAGAGTTGAGAAGTAATGGAGCTGACTCATTATTTCAACTACACTGTAGCACTGTTTCTCTCCCAATTAACTAAATTACTTCTATACATATGAATTTCACTTCTTTCTTTTATAGGACGTGTGCGAACCAAGTTTTCAACACCCTCTATTGGAGTGGGAAATTCAAAGGCAGATTCCAGGGGCAGGAGTCGAACAAAAGTTGTATCTCAGTCTCAACGTATGTATTGCTTGTCTCTCTCAACAATGTTTTAAACTCATAAATCTACTGTACATTCATTGACCAAAGGATAATGTCAAAATATTTCTTCAGAAACACTACATACTGAGTTGTTGTTCTGTGCCATAGGTTCATCATCGCCAGACAAAAATGAAGGTGTTTTTTTTTAGTGTTTCAGTGTTTCGGGTCAGTAGTCTGCATGCTTTTGGAGTCTTCTATACTTTATGTAGTGTTATTTTGAACAAGATATTCAGAAAAAGAAAAATTAATCCTTTCCATGTAGAATTTTTTAAACCTGGCCTCTCTTCATTGGGAAACCCTATAATTATTTAAAATTAATGGGTATCATTTCAATGCCTGAAAACATTTTAATTAATTACAATTCAAACATTATAATTCAATAGTTTAAATTCCATCCAAGTATATTGTTGCTACATTATGTAGAATTGAATGCATTATTTCAAAATTAATGAAGCATTGGAATGTATTATTCAAACAAATATATATATTTCTAATTGATATACATTAGAGGAAAATAGAAAGATTCCTCAAAATGTTATTTTCTAAAATACAGAATGTGTACTTTCAACCTCTTTTGTAAACTATTGCATATGAATGGTGAACACATTTATAAGCACAGGCAAATATCCCTTAAGAGACTTATTAGAACGATCTCTATATTTAATGTCTAACTTGCCACTTCTTTCTTGTTATAGTATCATAAACAATATTGAGTATTCTAAAAGATGTGCAATGGATGTAATTATTTTCTGTTTGTAATAATAGTCAGGGACGTGCAGTCACTAGAGGCAAGGGAGGCGGAGCCTCACCAGTCTCCTCAGGAAAAAGAAAGAAATTTAAATATATTTTTTTAAATAATTAAAGCCAAGATAGTTGCTACCAGATTCCAGCTCACAGTGGCTTGGTGTCTGCTTAGTGTTAACCAAAGCAGGAGGTGAGAGAACTCGGGGCCTCTTTTCCATAAGGAATTTTTCGCCTTCTAAAAGTTAATAAAGAGTTAAAAGGCAAAGAAGTTCAGATGGAAAAGAGGCACTAATTCTCCCGCCTCCTGATTTGGAAGCAGCCAATCGTGTCTTCTTGAGCACGCTTACGTTGGGCGGGGCGTGCTTCAGAGGAGAGAGGAGTGGGCGAGAAGGAGGAAGCTGTCTCTTTGCTGCAGACCTGGGTGCTTGGCGGCTCCCGCGATGCAAAGTGCCGCACCATCCCCGATGCTGCCACCCGCTGCCCCGGCCTGCTTCTCCAGGCTCCGCCGCTGGAAGTCCCGGATCGCCTCTGGGGGAAGGCTGGGTGAGAAGCGGAGCGAAGCTTCTCTGCAGCCTCCCGGCGCTGCGCAGAGGCTCTTGCAGGAGCACGTGTCAGCGGCCTGGAGCGGCCCCGGCTGTGAGACAAGGGAGCACTTAAAGCAGCCGCTGCCGCCGCTGCCACCACCCCTCCTTCGCCCGGTGGGGCGGTGGTGGCGGCAGCGGCAGCGGCTACTTTAAGTGCTCCCTTGTCTCACAGCCGGGGCCACTCGAGGCCACCGGCCGCTGACACGTGCTCCTGCAAGAGCTTCTGGACAGTGCCGGGAGGCCGCAGAGAAGCTTCGCTCCATTTTTCACTCAGCCTTCCCCCAGAGGCGATCCGGGACTTCCAGAGGCGGAGCTTGGAGAAGCAGCGGACGCAGGCCGGGACAGCGGGGGGGGGCAGCGGGGCACTTTGCATCGCGGGAGCCACCAAACGCCTTTGCTGCAGACTCGGGCGCTTGGTTGCTCCCGCAATGCAAATTCCCTCCCCCGCCGAGGCCGACCGCTGCCCTGCTGAGCCTCACCAGGTATCAACCTCACTGCACGTCACTGATAATAGTATAGAAATAACTATTGCGAAAGTATGTCCTATGCATATTACCATGTTTTCCCGAAAATAAGACAGGGTCTTATTTTCTTTTGCCCCACAAAATATGGCTTGGGCCTTATTATCAGGCGAGGGCTTATTGTTTTGGGGTTGCCGGGCGGCTGCTCTCTTGTTAGCGGGGTCCCAAAGAGCCGGGCAGAGCTTCAGGAACGAACAGCTGTGTTGCGCTATCGCAGCAGTGCAACATAGCAGCCATGAAGCTGCTCATGAGCAGCCACCCGGCAAACCCCTTCCCAGTCAGGCACAGTGCCATTTACTGACCTAGGGGTATCACCAAGCTGGGTGAACGCCTGTTCGCCGCCACCCGGCTCCTGCAGCTTGGCGCCTTCAAAATGCCAGTAAATTGCGTTGTGCCCGGCTGGAGAGGGGGGTTTGCACGAGCGGCTTTTTCGGCTGTTTCACTCCTGCTTGCGTGCCTACCAGCCTCCCGATGCTCTGACTCAGCTCTCCCTGCAGCACCAGGGCACCTCCTCTACCGCCACCACCCGCCACCATCCCAGCATGGCTTTTTCAGCAGCTTCCAAACCGAGTCTTCTGGCAGTGGCCGCTCTGGGCATACGCTCTATGGTTGTATGCCGGCTACCGGCAGAGGGTACTTCCAGAGTGTACAATCATAGAGCGTATGCCCAGAGCAGCCACTGCAAGAAGACTTGGTTTGGAAGCCGCTAAAAAAGCCATGCTGGGATGGCAGCAGGCGGTAGCGGTAGCAGAGGTGCCCTGGTTCTGCAGGGAGAATCGTAAGGGTATCAGTAAGGGTAATAGGAGCTCACATGGCTTGGTGAGTGAATGGCGCTGTGCCCGGCTGGAAAGGGGGTTTGCCAGGTGGTTGCTCGTGAGCGTGGTCACTTCATGGCTCTGTGTTGTGCTGCTGATGCCCCTGAGGCTGTGCCCGGCTCTTTGGGAGCCCGCTTGCAAGAGAGTAGCTGCCCAGCAAACCCCCTCTCCAACTGGGCACAGCGCCACTCACCAACCTAGCAGTATCCTGAAGGCATCAAGCAACGCAATCACCTTTGCCCCCCACCCCCAGTTCCGGTGGCTTGGCACCTTCGGGATACTGCTAGGTTGGTGAGTGGCGCTGTGTCCAGCTGGAGAGGGGGTTTGCCAGGTGGCTGCTCGTGAGCGAGGTTGCTTCATGGCTGCTGTGTTGTGCTGCTGTGACAGTTCAACACAGCCATTTGCCCCTGAGGCTGTGCCCGTCTCTTTGGGAGCCTGCACACAAGAGAGCAGCCACCTGGCAAACCCTCTCTCCATCTGGGCACAGTGCCACTCACTAATCTAGTGGTATCCCGAAGGCGTCAAGCAACGCGATCACCTTTGCCCCTCACCCCCAGTTCCCACAGCTTGGCACCTTCGAGATACTGCTAAGTTGGTGAGCAGCGCTCTGCCTGGCTGGAAGGGGGGTGTCCAGGGGGCTTCAAGTGCTAGTCGTTACTTTTAAAGCCCTACATGGTATCGGATCTGGTTATCTGAGAGACCGCCTCCTGCCAATTACCTCCCAGAGATCTATTAGATCGCACAGACTAGGCCTCCTCCGGATTCCATC